AAAAAAAGAAAATTGGTGCAACTTATTCTGACATGTTATGTTACAATCTGTTGTTTCTCCACTCTTATCCATTCAATACTGTCTCATTGATATCTTGTGTATTGAAATTGCACCTCAAAAATAAAGAATTATAAAAAATAATAATTATTATTTACTGTTTGAGGGGAGAGACTGTTTGGTGGCTGTTGGTAATATTGCTTTGGCGTCTGGATAGAAACAGGATTATTTATGAGTAATGACGCGATCTCTAACATATAAACTTTTTGGTCATATGTGTATATTTGACTCTATACAGTGTGTATAAAGCTATCTACATGTGCTTTATATATGAGATCAAATTGAGGAACAGTCTGAAATGCATAGAATAGAACATTACATGACTTTCCGAGTGTCAACTTTCTTTGGCATCATCTGTTGTTAACTAATTTTCTTTGATCTTACAGGTTATCAAGGGCACACTAATTAAGATGAAATACAATGAATGAGAGAGCTCATCACGGTGTGACGGCTGATTTTATGTACGATTATTCTTAATCTAAGTCTATTTTTAAATTTAGTTTTAGATTGTAAGCTCCCATAGGGATACAGCCCTCATCTCCTCTTGCAATTGTAAAATTTTAAATTGTTTCTTAGTTACAACGTCTAGTCTTTTTAGATGTACCAATTGTATACAGGGACAGCGATGTGGAATGTGCAGGCGCTTTATAAATAAAGTACTATAATAATTAATTAATTAGTGTTACACTCTATGCTTCTACTATCTATTTTTCTTTGGGTTTTTCTTTGAAAAGATATACTGAGATTGTGTCAAGGAACCTTACTGTATTAGTGCAGTCTATATTGTGGGTAAAATTTATTTTAAAGGACCACTATAGGCATCCAGACCACTTCAACTCAATGAAGTGGTCTGGGTGCCAGGTCCCTCTAGTTTTAACCCTGCAGCTGTAAACATAGCAGTTTCGGAGAAACTATGTTTCACCGAGGGTTAATCCAGCCTCTAGTGGCTGTCTCACTGACAGCCGCTAGAGGTGCTTCCGCGATTCTCACGGTGAGGGGGTGGAGAGTTCCCCAGCACAGAGGGATCCCGGCGCTGGAGAAAGGTAAGTGGGAGGGGGGCCCTGAGGGTGGGGGGACCTAATGACCCTATAGTGTCAGGAAAATTAGTTTGTATTTCTGGCACTATAGTGGTCCTTTAAGCATTTTACCCCACTCCCTCTACCATGTAAGCTCATTGAGCAGGGCCCTCAACCCCTCTGTTCCTGTGTGTCCAACTTGTCTGGTTACAACTACATGTATGTTCGTCCACCCATTGTAAAGCACTGCGGAATTTGACGGCGCTCTATAAATATTATCATAATAATAATAATTATAATAATTATCTGCCATTTTTCTTCAACTCCTGGCACTTGATCTGCCAGTACCCTGCATGTATGATGTTCTCTCACACATTTACAAAGCCTATACGTGATGGATGGAGATTGATAACTCTCAATCAAAGTCCAACACATTTAACAAGAGTAATTCATAAAGATTATATATTCATGAACTACTAAGAAAGTGTCTATCGTTTACAGAGTTTCTTAAGCCAAAATATTCAGCTACAGCCTTAAACAATGTTGCCAAAAGCATGTTTTAAATTCTTCTGATCTGCATACACCCATCATATAACCAGTTTTAAAAAAATAATGTTACCTGTAGCAGTCTCAGGAGTTAATGTACTAATGAGCTAATAAAATTCATATGATACATTTTTTTCATGAACTACTGAATTGGGTTATACAAATCAACTGAACTGTGTGTGAAAATATAGAGCTTTCTGCAGTAATGAAATTCTAGTTTACGTCATTTATTGGCCTCAACAAACCATCCTTTTTCCTAATGATAATAATCCCAGAGATTGTGTGATCCTAATAATAATAATCCCAGAGACTCTGTGACTTTAGTTTCACTGTGATCTGCAATTCAAGTCTTGTTTATTTTTGCAAATGACCCCCAGACCATCAGTAAGGTATTGTACTCTGTTGCTAGGCAGACTGATATTGTTAAGAACTTTTTGTGAGTAAGGCACACAGCTACAGTCCTTATTTATCTAGGCTGTGACTTCATTACTAGCTGCTGCTGCTTCAGCAAAGATAAAGCAAAATTCAGTTTCTCTTATTAAAGATCCAATTGTCTGCTATAATAAAATAAGGGAATACTATGATCATACCCTTCCCAAATCCCCGGTAAATAGTAATTGGCAGTTCTCTGCCAATTGTAAAGGGCTACTATACAATCCATCTATTCTTTTTCTCCAAATTTGTTCTCATATCCGTCCATATCTCTATCTGTTAGCATGCACCTTCATGACACTTTTCAAAAGGAAGAGGAAGGGAAGTGGTGGAAAAGAGGTTTTCTTGTGAATGAATCAATGTTTTTTTCTCCTCCATCTCAATGAGTCCTTCACTGGGACTATATTAACATAGGGCTGTTGGAGAGGTGGCAGTGGCACCAGGCCTGTGCTTTGAAATAGGACCAAAGCTGCTACAATTTAAATGTTAAAGTTTATTTATTTGATTATTATGGAATACTCTTCTGCTGCTACAGTAACACTCAAGCGATCTCTTTTTTATTCATTTACTTCTAAGAACTTCCAAGTACTGAGGTGGAATCCAGATGTTGTGTGGTTCAGCAGTAGGTTTGCAATATATTACACATGTAGACCATAACTTATAAGACAATTGAAATGCAACTTTTATTATTTCAGCTCCAGGCCCACGAAGCCCTAAATCCAGCACTGTCTGCCGTTCTTATTGATGGAGTACAAGTGTTTTCAGAACAATGCACCAAGATCAATGTGGCGAAACCGGCCTCGCCACGTGTCCTTGGAGGGGGCTGCTTGCCCGCCTCTTGCCTTTGGACTATGGACCAGACTTTATGTGAATGTGTTAACCCAGATAGCTATGCCATGGAGTCCATTCGTGTAGTTAAAGACTTCAGCTCCATGGCAATTGAACTGTGTGAATAGGATCTGAGCGCTATTCGGTAGTTTTGTGCGCTCAGATCCCAGCTATCTGGGGATATGTGAAATGTCTGTGTCTTATGTGTAAAAGGTGACTTTATGTATTTTAAAGTGTTTTGTGTCTTTTTGCAACCATGTGCTTAATGGAGTCTTGTGTCTGTCCTGGGAGATAATTGAATTACTCTCCAGGATAGAAGACTCTGAAACTGGTTTGGGCCAGAAAGCCATGCTTCATTTAGTCACAAAGGACTTTCCCTTAACTTTTGAACCCCTGGTCTGATTCGTGCCATTTTTTAATATGTTGTTCCCCTGAATGGATTGATTATGAAAATGTATGTTTTATGTTTGTGACATGTATATTTTAGAAGTTATAAATATTGTGTAAAAACTGTATTCCTCTGCCGGTGATAATGAGATTACCCATTGTGTTCAGTAATCATATCACAGACAGAGGGGAGGATTTTGTGTGGGAGTGTCTGGGTGTATTGCATGGATTGATTGGTTGTTTTGTAACGCCCTGTGGGCTGTACTATGTTTGTGGATTGGGAATAAAAGAGACTGTATGTGACAGTACAGGAGTTCCTGTTTTAACCCTCAAAGTGAAGTGTCGTCTCATTATTGGGGGAAGGATTTATTGTATGCTGTTCCAGTTTGACTGCTAGGAGAGTAAACCTATTCGTATGGTTCCTATTCAACTGTCTACAGCATTCATATGCTTGAGAGGATTCATATGCTTCTCTGGTTCGGTGGTTGTGGGGTCTGCTGCAGTGCTTGGAGTCCTCAGGAAGCGCTAGGAGCATCCTTTAACGGAGGTACCCAGTCAGGGTGCCAGGTGATCCGTTACAATCAACAAATGACTGACCTTTAATTTTGGGAAGAAAAACAAAAAATATAGCACTTACCAGAGGGGAAGAGATCTTGTTGCTCACGGTGCTCACAGAAGATCCAGAAAGGCAAACACAATGACTATGAAACAGCAAAGAAAACGGATCCAGCAAAAACACATAAAGAATATTTCAGCCTAGTTAGGTGCTTTCACATGCTAGATAAAACCCCATGACCAGGGTGAAACATTGCTTACGTGTTTCCAATAAATCTGTACTTATGGGACTTTCCATGTGATGGATTTGTTTTGTTTTGTTTTTTTATTTTGTGAAGGCAGTTGAAAACAAGTTGCTGTTGCTTGAGCGTGGGTGAAGACTGAACATCAATTATAAATATCATGAACTAATCATTTATAGTGCCCAGCGTGCCGTTTTAAAGATGTTAAATGTGACTTGTTGTTTCACCAGTAGCCAGTGTACTTTCCTCAATTCTATGTCTGTGCAGCAATGCCCATGGATCTGTAAGAATACAGTGATTTCTTTATTTGTAGTTATGGTTGCCATTAGATGACATCAGCAGATGAGTGAGGTTGGCAGGGTATATTGAGAGATTAAATATCGGATCCCAAATGTTTGGCAGATTAGAGTAAAAATATCCAACTAGGGTGTTTGGTATTAGTCTCTTGTTAATTTGACCAAGTCCCTAACCTATGAGATGGGGTACAAATAAACAGGTTGAATACTTACCTTAATAATATAATATTGGCCTATATTAAAGCACACTGTCACTCACCAGCCCTGCAAAATGGAGTGCTGTTTCAGCACCTTAAACTTGGCGCAATTGCGCCTAATGATGTGCTCACACATCATGTTTTCTGGAGATACTTCCGTGATGTTCCCCATCACTCACTTTTCCACTCATCCCCTTCCCTACTCACTAACATGCTGGAGCTCCTGGTATGCAGCCTGGTACAGAGAAGAAGGTGAGTGCAGAATTAAGGAGACATACCACACTGTTAGAGCAAGAGCATTTGCACAGTGCGTGAAGTCGGTTTTACCGTAACTAATTTATAGTCCACCAGTCCACACAAGATTTGTTATCATACATCTTCCCATACTTTATTCCATCTGCACAAAGCAAGACCATGTGAAGAGTAGTAAAAAAATAATATATATGCTCTTCCTCACCGGGTCTGCAACCGATTTCCAAGGTGTCCCATCGTTAAACATCTACTAATCCTCAATGGGAAAGGAAAAGACTCATATCAACATCGTTGTCATTGGACACGTAGATTCTGGAAAATCCACAACAACCGGACATCTTATCTACAAATGTGGTGGTATCGATAAGAGAACCATCGAGAAATTCGAGAAGGAAGCTGCTGAGATGGGAAAAGGTTCCTTCAAGTATGCCTGGGTTCTGGATAAGCTGAAGGCTGAGCGTGAGCGTGGTATTACCATTGACATTTCCCTGTGGAAATTCAAGACCAGAAAATACTATGTTACCATCATTGAGGCTCCTGGTCACAGAGATTTAATCAAAAACATGATCACTGGTAACTCTCAGGCTGACTGTGCAGTCTTGATCGTTGCTACTGGTGTAGGAGAGTTTGAAGCTGGTATCTCAAAGAATGGACAAACCCGTGAGCATGCTCTATTGGCTTACACTCTTGGTGTAAAGCAGCTCATTGTTGGTGTCAACAAAATGGATTCCACTGAGCCACCATACAGCCAAAAGAGATACGAGGAAATTTGCAAGGAAGTCAGCACATTCATCAAGAGGATTGGTTACAACCCAGACACTGTTGCCTTTGTACTCATTTCTTGCTGGAATGGTGACAATATGCTTGAGCCCAGCTCGAATATGCCTTGGTTCAAGGGATGGAAGATCACCAGGAAGGAAGGAAATAGCAGTGGAGCTACTCTGCTTGAAGCTGTTGATAGCATTTTGCCACCAAGACGTCCCACAGACAAACCCCTCCGTCTGCCACTTCAGGATGTGTACAAGATAGGTGGCATTGGCACAGTACCTGTTGGTCGTGTGGAAACCGGAGTTCTTAAACCAGGCATGGTGGTTACTTTTGCCCCAGTCAATGTAACAACTGAAGTGAAGTCTGTGGAAATGCATCACGAGGCTCTGACTGAGGCTTTTCCCGGTGACAACATTGGTTTCAACGTAAAGAACGTCTCCGTCAAGGACATCCGTTGTGGCAATGTTGCTGGTGACAGCAAAAATGACCCTCCTCTTGAAGCTGGTGCATTTACTGCACAGGTAATCATCCTTAACCACCCAGGTCAAATTGGTGCTGGATATGCCCCTGTGTTGGATTGTCACACAGCCCACATTGCCTGCAAGTTCGCTGAGTTGAAGGAAAAAATTGATCGTCGTTCTGGTAAGAAACTGGAAGACTTACCCAAGTTCCTCAAGTCTGGTGATGCAGCCATCGTTGAAATGGTTTCAGGCAAACCCATGTGCGTTGAGAGCTTCTCTGACTATCCTCCACTTGGTTGATTTGCTGTGCGTGACATGAGACAGACTGTTGCTCTTGGTGTCATCAAGGCCGTTGAGAAGAATCTGGCTCTGGCAAAGTCACAAAATCAGCCCAGAAAACCAAATGAATCTTGCAAAAATCACAAACCACCTGAGTCTTAACCAGTGGTGGAAGATTGGTCTCTGAACTGTTTGTACCAATTGGCCATTTAAGTTTAATAGTAAAAGACTGGTTAATGATAACAATGCATTGTAAAAGCTTCAGAAGGAAAGGAATTTTTGTGGACCATTTTGTTTGTGGCAGTTTTTAAGTTATTAGTGTTTTAAATCAGTAACTTTTAAATGGAAACAGCTTGACCAAAATCTGTCACCAAATTTGAGACCATTAAACATTATGTAATATATATAAAATTATTATTATTATTTTTTTTAATCAATGGACATATTCCATTGGCAAGCGCCTGGAGCTCCAGCTCCATCAATCATCAATAATAACATCTACTAGGATTTTATTGATGAGATTCAACATTTGCAGAGATGGTCCATATTTTTGTATAAAAATTCCAGGAAAATAATTAGCTCAGAGTCTTTTAAAGACTTCTTATTGAGCTGTTTTGGGATGGAAGTCTGTGATGTGACAGACACATAAAGTCTGGTCTGGGGCAATATGGAAGGGCATGTAAAGGCTTCAGATGAGAAAAAAAAATGCATATTTAAAGGGCTACTATACAAAGCTGTATTCCTAGCACTATACTTCCCTCTAGCCCTCCCTCCCTCCCTGAGGGATATCACAAGACAGGGGCGCTTATGACCGGGATCGGTTTAGGCCCTCTCCCATAGAAAACCAAAAGTCGCCTACCCACCAGGAAGTGCCTCTAGTGCCTGTTTGATTGACAGCCGTAGAAGCAGTCTTAACACTGCAATGTAATGATTGCAGTTTTTCAGTTAAAGGGACAGGAATGGTGCAACCAGACCACTTCAACGAGCTGCCTATAGTGTGCCTTTAAATGCATGCATGTTTTCATTCTGAATATATCTACTAAACAGTGTTTTTTTTTTTAGTATCTGGGCAATGGAATATCCCTTTAATTAAAACATTTCTGCTAGATTAAATTCGTATGACATGATGAATGTGAGGCATTATACAACAGAGAGGAAAATATTTTTTTTTTTACATCTTCTACTCACTGACACAAACAAAATTTAAATGTCATTTTCATCTATTTTCATTTTTTTTTTGGAGCATTTTGCCTACTCCAAATGACTTGCGTTTGAAACTAATTCTATACTCTAGATCAGACCATGAATTTTAGTTTTATTGCAAATGCGAAGGCAATAGGAATTCTAAAGTACAATCTTTTAAATATGATGTGATTGCCTATGATAGCTTTAGAGAATCATAAGTGGAATCCGTATCATAACATTAAGATTTGAAGATGAAACAAAAAGTCAACATCTTTTCATTTTTAATTCCACTATAGGAAAGTTGCCAGATCATAAGAATTTAAACTAGTTTTTCTTCCCAGGGTATGTCTGGATTTAGAACAAGGAACATCATCATAAGAATAGGTGTGCCATTTTAAGAAAACAAAAATGGAACAATAGTCCTGTGAAAAGACTTAAACCAATATTTTGTGATAATTTGCAACTTAAAGAAACATTCCAAGCACTATAACTGCTACTACTTGGTAAACCTCCACATTGTAAGGAATCAAGCTGTTTTCAAAAAGTTTGACTTCTTACATGGGGTCTGCTGACCACCGTTCCCGTCTCCACTGCCTTTGCCAGAGACTTCCTAAGTAGAAACGTCTGTTAGCTCCCCCAATCTAAGCCTTACCATGCAGGAATTAGTTCCTTTGCTGAGAGCAATAAGATGACTCTCTCAGCCAATGAGCTAAGACCTGAATTGCATTGCCGCACACATTTTGCACCCTCTAGTGGCAATTAATAATATTCATATACCAGTTACCCACTGACATCTTCGGTAAAAATCACTATTTAACAGAAATCTACTTATCTTGAAGAAGAGATTCCAGGATCACATTTCCATGACCTTCATTTATTATATTAATATAAATACATGCAAAGATAAATATGATTTTATTTTAAATCAATTTGTCCCTGTGGATGTGACTAAATTGCCTTATTTCCATAACTGACTAAAATGCCCTACTCCTTTCTTACTAATGGATGGCTGAGCATAATTGGAAATGTAGTCCACAAACATCTAGAAAAATGTGGTCACTAGTAATAATGATTAACCTTTTGTATTTATGCACAGTGCTTTGTGAATCACAATCTTACTTGCAGTGTAGTAAAGACTAGTAGTTTGTTAGATAAGAGCATGCAGTATGTACTAACTCTCAGAGATGGATTTACATGTTAGGTCCCTGTAGTCCCTGTAGGCACATAATTAAAAGGCACCCCCTGCTTCCCAACTCCAAAATAATGCAGATAATGTAAGTATAATGAATTTATTAACTGGGCATTACAGGTCTAAAATATCTTTAAAAAAAATTATATTTGACTGCATATATATACATTTATGTATGTGCTAATTTCTGCCATACTTGTAATGTGTTGTGTTTGAATCTGTGACTATAGTGAGTGCATGCATTGAGTTAATGCACACTGGGTTAAAGATAAGGATAGGGTAAATGGGTTAATGTCAGAGTTGGATTACATGGGGTGTTTAGTGTGTAGACAATTAACCACTTGAAAGGAGTTAAAGTTGTAGTTTAACCCCTTAAAGGACACTCCAGACCCGTAAAGCACTTTAGCGTGCTGAAAATCAGTACGAGTGAATAGAGTGTCCCTTTTATCATTTTGCAAAAAGTGCATATTTCAATATAAATGTACACTTTTATAATTTATCCTGGGTACATCCCCCTGGCTTTAAAGGACCACTATAGGCACTCAGACCACTTCAGCTTAATGAAGGTCCAGCTAGAGTAAACCCTTTCTTCTATAAACATAGCAGTTTCCGCGGATGCGCATTCAGCCGATGACGACGAGAAGGAGGACGAGAGGAGGAGGAGAGTCTCCCGCCCGGCGCTGGAAAAAGAGGTAAATTTAACCCCTTCCATCCCCTAGAGCCCGGCGGGAGGGGGGCCCTGAAGGTGGGGGGGACCTAGAGACCCTATAAAGCCAGGAAAACGAGTATGTTTTCCTGGCACTATAGTGGTCCTTTCATCAGATAGCATGTCCTGTTACTTCCTGGTCTGATTAGCTTAGTGAAGCTAAATTCAAGAGACATCAATTGCTCAGAGCACCTGTCGTACAAAGGCTTCATTGGGAAATCTGTGTTTGGACAGCCACAAAAAGTCTGGGTGAGGTGAGAAGGGAAGGGCTTGCAAAAGAACTACAAGTTTTGCAAGCTGGTTTTAAATATACTTTCAATGAAAAAAAATGCATAATTAAATGCAATTAACATTTACGGTATATCTATATCTAAGAGCTTCCAAATCAAACACAGAAGAGAAAATAGCACAGTCAGTAAAAAAAGGGGGACAAAACTTTTTTTTAGATACATAAATGAGAAAAGAAAAGTAAAACAAGGATTAGTTAGATTAAAAACAAAAGAAGGAAGGTATGTAGAAGAGGATAAAAGTCTAGCTGACACTCCCTGACCTGATAGAGAACGTATCCCCCACATTCCTACAATCCTTTAAATACAAGCAATTGTCGAACTATATAGACTCCCTCCCTGGGGGACGAGCCCATGCTAGGAACCCAACTACCTTCGAAGAGTGCTGTATGCACCCAGACCCCCTACCACACGGCATTTCATTCCTATATTCACTACTACTACTATTACTACTCCTGCCTTTAAGAGCAAGTGGGAAACCGCACTGGGGAGGACTTTTGCTGAGACAGAATGGGAAAAATATGCTACTTCACACACCACTGTTCTACCTTCTCAAAGACACAAGAGACGGCATTCAAGCTGCTGAGCCACTGGTACCGCACCCCAAGTATACTACACGCAATAGACCCCTCAAGCCCCGACGTATGCTGGAGATGCGGGGAGGCAAAGGGCACTATACTACACCTATGGTGGGAATGCCACAGAATTAAACCGTTATGGACGGGCATACACAGCATCCTAGGAAACTTTTCAGAAGCACCACCACCATTGGAGCCAGCAGCAATGCTCCTCCACCACACGACCGTACCCAGATCCCAATATAAGAAATGCATGACTATTAGAATTCTCAATGTGGCCAAACAGGTTATACCCCAATACTGGAGACAAGATAAGACCCCTCATCTCAGGGCATGGTTCACTCAAATGGAAGAGCTCAGGGCGATAGAAGAGTTACACTCAGGGACAACTAACACCACCAAAAAATACATGGAGACCTGGACACACTGGATTGTGACCACCACACAAGCAGATTTTACTGCCCAACTTGACACAGAAGCCTCACCTGACTGAACGGACGCACGCGAATGACCCCGACAGCCCTACACCACCCACCTCCCGCACCACCTGCAGCCTCCCACCCTCCCCTCCCCAACCCTCTCCCCTGCATACACCCCTTCCCCCTCCTTCCCACATCTCACAAAAGATACCGAACCACTGTAATGCTGAACAGGGACTTGCGAGTCCGTCATTGAAGTGTGCCTGCGAGCCCGAATATTTACCTGCTTTCAGACTTGTTCTGGCACATGTTGTGCTTTAAGTTATACTATGCTTGAAGAGACCTGCGAGTCTCACTGTGAGAAAACAATGACAATAAAAATATATTTGCAAAAAAAGTCTAGCTGACTGCCTCAATTAATATTTTTGTTCAGTATTTACAGATGAAAATGAAGGAAAGGGACCTCAGTTAAGAAAAAGGATAAATTAGTCATTTATTACACGTGAGTTTACAGAGGAAGAGGTTCTATTTCAACTGACAAAAGTAAAGACAAATAAGTCAATGGGAACTGATGGAATACACCCAAAGCTATTAATCATTGTTAACAGGAGTAGTCCCAGAAGATTGGAAGTTAGCGAATGTTGTGCCCATTCACAAGAAAAGTAATAGGGAGGAGTCGGGCAACTATAGGCCAGTAAGCCTTACTTCAGTAGTGGGAAAAGTGATGGAAACCATGTTAAAGGATAGGATTGTTGAACATCTAAAAACACATAGATTTCAAGATCAGAGACAACATGGGTTTACTTCAGGGAGATCATGCCAAACTAATCTTATTGATTTTTTTAATTGGGTAACCAAAATAATAGATCAGGGTGGTGCAGCAGACATTGCTTACCTAGATTTCAGTAAGGCTTTACTGAAGGCTTATCAATAAACTGCAATATTTAAGTTTGGTTTCCAATATTGTTGAATGGGTAAGGCAGTGGCGGAGTAACAGGCAACAGAGGGTTGTAGTTAATGGAATATAT